TTCGTTACGTTACGTTCGTTTCGTTCTTCGTCGTACGTACGGTTACGTTACGTTACTTACGTAGTAAGTACTACTACTTAGTACGTCTACTCGACGTACTACTACTCTCTCTCTCTCTCTCTCTCTCTCTCTCTCTCTCTCTTCTATATATATATATATATATATATATATATTTATGGAGTTCCTTCATTTTTTTTCCTGGTAGCTTGCTCTTATGGAATTACTTCAAAGCTGAAAGAACCTGCTACTGATATTTAGATGGTGAATCTTCAAACATCTAGACATGAAATAAAGGGAAATGAATAATCAGCAACAGGCATGAATTCCTTGATTATCTTTGTGTTATACAATTATAGTGCCTCTACAACCCTTGGATGTTTCCTTAGGTCCATTGAGAGATTATTCATGGACTTATACATTTGATCTACATGCATTTGGACTCGAGTGAATACTTTTCCTTTTCCCTGCCCAGTCGTTTGTGCTAGATTTGAATCTCCAAAATGTGGAACATGAATTTATTTTTTGTTCAGATTCTATGGAAACTATTTTGAAGTGATGATATTCCAAGCAGCTCAAATATTGAGAACCATGAAAAATTTGGAACCTTTATTCTGTTCTTACCCTTTCTCTTATTTCTCAGCTTCATATAGTTAGCATTCCATTGTGACTGTACAGGAATCTCATATTTGATTGCATTCCTAGATAAAATAAAAAACAGGAGTTTGTGTAGTTGATAGTTTTTATAATTTAGTTGTTTCATGTGACCTGATCCATTGTTACATGGGCACCAAATGAGTATTGGTGCCCCACAAGTATCTTGGTTGGTAGATACTTATCCCAAAAATTGGACACAATCCGATACACACATACATGGAGTTTCATTTACCCAAACCATTTGTTTTCTGGTTAAGTAATAAAAGTTCTACGATTGAATCATAAATGAAATAAGCTATAAAGGAATACAAATTTAGTGATAATAGGAGTAGAAACGAGGAAGTAGTTAAGATTGATGGTCAAGAAATACTTAAAAGGGATTGTTTCCAATATCTAGAGTCGATAATCCAAGAGAATGGAGAGATTCAGGAAGATGTCGCGCATAGAATTAGAGCTGGGTGGGCGAAGTCGAGATGTGGATTCAGAGTTTTATGTATTCGCCAAATACCATTGAGACTGAAGGGGAAGTTCTATAGGACAACTGTAAGACCAGTCATACGTTATAAGACATAATGTTGGGCGGTCGAGAAACAACATGTCCATAGGATGAGTGTAATTGACATGTCCAGACAAGAAATGATAGAATTCGGAATTAATATCTACGAGGGAACTTAGGTGTGGCTTCAATAGGCAATAAGATGAGGGAAAGTAGACTTAGGTGGGCTGGCCATGTGCAATGTAGACCTAATACAATACTTATTAGTAGGTGCGGTTTGATTCAAGTGGAAGGCTCTAAAATGGCAAGGCCCAAAAGCGGATAAAAGTAGTGAGAAAATATATGGTGACTTTTGGTCTTACTGCGAGTATGGCCCTTGATAGAGAAGAATGAAAAAACAAGATTCTTGTAACCGACCCCAAATCATTGGAATAAGGCTTGGATGATGATGAAATACTCAGCTATAGACTAAGAAATCTTACTTTTGGAGGGCATGGGTTTGACCCGTGCTAATGCAGTCTTTTAAAACATGCTTTTGACATGATGCCAGTCCGAAGGCCACATGTTGTGTTAAGATTGATTTTAGCTAAATGCTGGATTCTGAAGATATAGGAATATTGTACTTCATGTGCTTGTTATGGGCCTTTCTGTTTTTGGTTCTAGTAGTTGACGGCTATTGATTCTAAAAATTTGTACTTATGATGTCTAGACATGCTATCTACTTAGGTTGTGAAGCTCACTGAAGCTATTATCCAAACATATTGAATATTACGTATTGAATTCTATTAGTTGATTTTGTAAGGTGGGAATGATGCTGAGGGGCATGGGCTTTGACAATACTACATCAGTTTATGTTGCTGCTGGAAAGATATACAAGGCAGAAAGATACATGCTTCCTCTTCGGCAAATTTTTCCTTTGTTAGAAACAAAAGAGACTTTAGCTTCACCTGAAGAGCTTGCTCCTTTTAAGGTATGATCTCCATAACACTTACAGGTCTCAGTGATTATTACTGTTGAAATATGCAATGCTTCATCACTTGTTGATATGTTGGGCATACCTTTTTTATCATAGTTTATCATAGTTCCTTTTTTTTGGCATTTATTTTGCCATGGATACCAAAGATATAAATGACAATTGTTTAGCAGGTAACTTTGGAGACATTATATGTGGGCTGTGTTGCAGGGCCATTCCTCAAGGTTGGCAGCTCTAGACTATACTGTGTGCCTCCATAGTGAAGTATTTGTTACGACTCAAGGAGGCAACTTTCCTCATTTTCTGATGGGTCACAGGCGCTTTCTTTACAATGGACATGCAAAGACGATTAAACCTGATAAGAGAAAATTAGCATTATTGCTAGATAATCCAAATATCAGGTCTTTTTTCTTTCTTTTTTCAATAACTTTGAGATGCAAAAGTTTGATCCTTTATTATGCAAATATTATTTTTAGGATTCTTATATATAAGGAAAAAGGTTTTATGATTTTTTGGATCAGTTTCCATGGCTGTAAAAGCATGAAACTTGTCCAACTGATTTTGTTGTAGTTTGCATGCTATGAGTTGCTCAAAAAATTTGTTTTTGTCTGTTTCTTTTATTCTTAGAAGAAATGTGCATTTTATGCTTGGGTTGGTTTCTCTAATAGGCGGTAAGTTCATAACCAGAATGTGATCATAAAATTGAAGTTTGACATAAGGTGAGCCACAATCATGGTGATTGTTATGAGAGGAAATTGAAGCACCTTTGGAAGATTACTTTTCAGAAATAGTTTTTCTAATTCAGTTTCGAATTCAAAATCCCTGTGCTTTATATACATTGCTTCTGTATAGAACGCAAAATACAGGCATTGAGCAACATTAGACAAACAGTGAAGAAGATATTCCAGGCATTCACCTCATGATAGCATCTTGGGTGAATGTGTAGCATCTATTCGATGATTGTAGATTCTTATCCTATACCATGTTTCATTGTCTTTGAAGTCCTAACTCGGATTGGAACTTGCCAAGCTTACAAGTCGCTTCACACCAACTCAACTCAGCCAAGTATCAGTATAACTCAGCCCAAAGTGGCTTGACTCGGGTGAGTCTATTGATAAAACACAAGATTTATTTGGCTGCCAAAGCAATTCAATTTCGTCAAGTCCCAAGTCAAACCGCTTAATTCCAAAACATGGTCATTTCACTTGATCCTTATCTATTATGAATATTCACAAGAAGAGAACTGGATTGGATAGATCATATTTTAAGAGCCCCTTTGAAAGAATTTATGTGATATTCACTCAGTTTGGTTCATCAGTTTTCTGCAGGGGCATGTGAATGCTGATTGCAGGAGGCATGATGCGCTCTTTATAACTACATTTAGCATCGGTTGCTTCAGATACCTGGTGTCTCCTACAATATCATTTAGGACAGTTCTTCAGTTTGTTTTCTCCACTGAAAGTACTATAGGTTGTATAGGAACTTTGGGCATTTTCAGAATTGTGGATATCTTCTCTCATTTCTCTCCCTACAGCTTAGATGATTCATCCAGGTGCTTTAGATACCTGTCCTGCAAGGGCTTCCTTGAAATGTGAACTCATCCATGATTTCATTTAGGTAACCTAGACTTCATATGTACATTTGAGATTTTAATTTGATTGGTCATTGTCCCTGTTGTTTCTAACCTTTTTGAACCTTAAATCTTTAGGGCATCTGTTAGTTGCAATAGCAGAAAGACTTTTACCCAGGTCATTCTGATGTGGTTGGTCAAGTAGTTGGTGGATCCATTGAGAAGGATGGTACACTTGGCTAGCATTTTTTGTAAATAATTGTTCATGTCATCCTCTGCATTTCTTTCATGCCACTTAATACAATACTAATTATGCCTAAGATGCCCATATACGGGCATAGATATGGTCATAAATGCGGAGCATGGTGATGCTACTCAGCATTTCTTGAAATTCAAGATGCGTTTATGGATAAGTGTATCCCATAGTTACTGGATCTCTCTGTCCAGGTTGCGATTCCCCTTCGGAGTCCCGATTTGGCGATTCCGACGAGGAATCTTAACGGAGCCCATTTCCTTGAAGTTAGGAATGTCGATTCTTTATTTTAGGAATCTTGATTTCAGCTTTTTGTGAATCTCGATCTCAATATTTATGGAGTCATGATTCCAACTTTTTCGGATCCCGATTCTGACATTTATTGAATCTTGATTCTACATTTGTCGCTTCCCGATTCCACATATAATGAATCTCGATCTGATTTTTTATTTTTTTTGTTATGGATTAATCCATACCATCAAGTACCTCCAATCATTGGTCCAAAAAACTGCAATTAAATTAATATGAAAATTCTCGATTTGATTTTTTATTTTTTTGTTAATCCATAACCACAGGCATCAAGTACCTCCAATCATTGGTGCAAGAAATTGCAATTAAATTAACATGGAAATTTTCTTCCACCATAGAATTTTGATCCAATTTTTTTCGGAATCCTGATTCCACAAAATCATGTACTGATGTTCATAGGTGCACGAAATTGTGATGTGTTGAGCGTGGAATCTCACCTCAAACATTTGTAGGTTCTGATTTCAGTTATCTGGAAACCCGATTGGAGACATTGTTTCCCATGGTTTATAGGTGCTCCAAATAATCATCCAATGAACCCAATGCTAAAGTATTTGTAACATGAATCAACTTTCAAATGCAAATGTTTAGAAGTAAGAAGTACTCTACATATATGATTCTAATGTCTTTTGCAGGTAATAAAGGCAGGTATAACTAGGGGGATGGAGCATTAGATCTTGTTCTTCAAGACTCGAAAATCAACTCTGAGGCCTTGGTCTCCTTTTATAGTCTGCGAAATCCAAACGCGAATTTCAAATGCGTTCTATATTCTCTTCAATTATTGCACTTCCTCTGAAAAAGTAGATTCCACCCTCTATTAGTGCACGACCTTTGAAAAAGTAGATTCCATAATTGTACGTTATAAAAGGTGATATCTTTGTACAATGCTCCATTATTGTACTTTTTCTACAGTAAACGATAAGCAATTATTGTACGAGCTTGGACACATGTTGTGTGCATAATGTCGGTAGAATCTTCATACAGTGAAGGGTGGGACACGTGTTATGTCCATACCGTCATCAGTTTTTTGTATACTGAAAATAGGACTCGTGTGCTGGATATGTTTGCAGTCGTACCGTCCTTTCTGATAGTTGCATTTCTTTTTTAGCAAATATCATCTTTCCATCATGTTGCTGATGTTGGCTTCTCCAACACTACCTAGGCTACAATCACTGATATTTTCTTGCCCTTCCATAGCCCAGTAATTGGTTTCAGCTTAGTCCATAAACAACTCTTATGCTTCTATAGACAGATCTGATGGTTGATCCAAATTGATCGGTCTTTCACATTTGCTCAAGAAGTCATCTGTTTCTTTGATTTGGCTATCAGTGGAACAGTGACTTATGTGTAGATCAGTGGCAAAAAGTCTTTTTCCATCACTAATTTTAAAAGAATGTCTATTCTTTAATTCACATATTTGTTGGCAGAATGATACTATATTTTTTTTGGCAAAAGTTTTTACATTGATTTCATGGACTTCTTTATCTGTCACTGCCGCGTCTTCGTCGAGTGTGAAATCGTTATTGGTGGTTTCCATTAGATACAAAATTTGGTATGACTGGAAAAATCTTTCTCTAGATCTCCATCCGATGGTGCTTGTTATTTGATAAGTAAGGTATTTATTAAATTTCCATGATTTGGAACTTTATAAATCATACTTTTTATAAAATTAGGGAAGTTTCTTATTTGCATCCATTCTAGATGCTAAAAAAGTAGAATATTTGGATTTTTATAAAAACTAGAAACCTGTCTGGTTTCTACTGGGAGACTTTGTTGAATATGTTTTTGAAATTCAACAATTTCTTTATAAGTGTTGGCCCACAACCTTGACTTTGAGCAAACTGAGAATAGGAAGCTTCTCTAGCCTCCTCTTCTTGATTGGACCATGGGAATTGTCTCCTGCCTCTTCCTTGTTTAGGAGGAGCTTCTTTGACTGGCCTCTTGCCTTTATCCATTAGATTAATCTTTCTGATTAATCCGAGTTCCTGCTAAGAAAATCTGCAAGGATATTGTTGGTTCCTTTGACAAGTTCTACTTTAAAATTGTAATGATGGATTTGATTTGACCATCTAATCCTTCTTGGATTATTTTTACCTTTTTGTTTATTAAAAAATATTTGACAGGTTTATTATCTTTTCGGATAGTAAACTCTTCAGCGGCAAGAAAGATATGAAATCGTTTGATCCTCTTAAAACTGCGAGAAGTTCTTTTTCGTAAATGATATAACTTTTCTCATTTGGTTTGAATTTTCCAGAATTATATCCACAAATGAGTTCTTTATTTTCTACCATCGCTTTTAAAACAGCTCCCCAATTTTCATTCGAGGCACATGTTTCTAAGATGAGTTTATCTCCTTTCGGAAAATAAACAATGGGTACCCTTCAGTTCAAAAACAAAAATAAACAATGGGTAATTTGTCGAGATCTTTTTTGATCATTTTGACTACTTGTGTGTCCTATTCTTCCCACACAAATTCTTGATTTTTCTTTAATTTATCCAAGAAAGGTTTTTCTTTTTTGGACAGATTAGGAATGAAATTTCTTTTATAATTCCAATTTCCGAAAAAACTCTGTAGGCGTTTTTTATCTATTAGTGTATTAAGAAAATTGTTTATTTTGGAAACAACATGTTCTTGCAATCTTATCCCTTGTTAGTCTAAGATTATTCCAAGAAATTATATTGAAGTCTTTTCTACTTGAATCATTTGAGGACTTAAAATAATTCCATTATCTAGGAATTTATCACTGACTATTTTTAGATGCTCTTTGTGTTCTTCCAGAGTTTTGGAAAAAGCTAGAACATCGTCGATATAGACGACACAAAAATCTTTTAGGTCTAAAAAGATTTTATCCATCCATCTTTGAAATATTTGAGGTGCATTGCATAATCCAAATGGCATGACTTTCCATTGGTAATGACCATAAGGAACACTGAAAGCAGTCAATGGTCTTGATTCTTCGGTTAGCATTATTTGCCCAAATCCTGATTTGCAATCAAATTTGCTATAATATTTAGAATTTTTTGTTTGATGAATCAATACGTCCTTTCTTGGAATAAATTTTAAATTTTTATTTAGCCTTTGATAGTTGATTACCATTCTGGCTTTTCCCTTTTTTTCTTCCTTATGGTTTCTTACCGTAACCGCTAGACTAGAATGTGAGATAGTAGTAGATTCTATTAGTCATTTTTCTAGTAAGTCTTTTAGTTGTATGGAAAATTCGTCTATATCTTTTTTGGTATAGACCATCGGTTTTACTCTTATGATCCTATTTGGATCACAGAGTTTCAGGCTACAATATCTAGGGCTTTTTGTCCATAATTTCAGAGGGTTTTCACTGAAATTTGGCTCGAGTGTTTTATATACCCTATGCTTTTCATTGAGTTGTTCTATTAATTCATTTTTATTACTTTCACCCCGTTTTTGAGAAAATGCGAATTGCCACCTATATTTATGTTCTTCTAACACTGGAATGGAAATTTTTTCTCCTTTCTGAGTTAATACTATTTCTTCATGGTAAATTTCTATAGGATAATAATCTTTGAGAAAATTATTACCTAAAATAAAATCTCCATGCATAAAAGGAAAACACAGAATTTTGGGTATAGAAAATTTTCTTTTTCCTAACCGTGCAGATACATTTTTGGCCTTATACTTGATTAGAGTATTATTGCCATCTATTCCAGTTGTGCTTAATGGGCTTGCCATTTTTTCCCATTTTTCTAATGGAAGTGTTGTAGGACTACAGGCGCATGTTATAGCTCCTATGTCGATTACAATATCAAGGTGATATGGTTTATATGCCAGAAAATTGAATTCTCCTAGAACAAACAAATACTTTTTTTTATTTTGATTGTGAGAAAATATGATATCTTCATCTTTTCCAATTTGAATTCTAGAAACTTTCAAACTTTGTTGTAAATATTTGGATTCTTCCTGCCGATCAGATTTTTCTGAATCTTCCTGTTGATCAGATTTTTCTTCTGAACTATTGCCCGGGAACAAAGGTAACTTTTATCATTTTATAACCTATTGGTTTCATTAGATCAACTTGTTCTGGTTGATCGAAGCTTAATCTTCTTCCTTCGATAGGATTTGCAGGTCTATCAAGACTTAATCGTCTATTAATAAATCTTTGATTAGTGAAATATATATTATTTCCTGATGCTTGAAAAGTTACTGGATGCACTTCCTTTTGGAAGATTTATCGGTAAAATTTTCTATCAACCAATTTGATGGTATCTTTAAATCTCACCAGTTGATTAAACTTTGGCAGTATTTCAGTGTCAAAGTTGCGAGGTTCAAATACTTCCACAATTTGATTATTTATCTCTTTTGTGGATTCTTTGTTATACTAGTTAGTTCGTGAATGGCTTTCCATTCTATGGCTAGGTCGAAGCTCTCTTCTTTCATTTCAACATTTTTTGTCTGGATTATGATTTTTACAGTGTCCTAGATATTTTTATCTCATACTGAGATAAAATAATTAGGTGTTATTTTGAACCAAACCTTCCAGTTACAAGGTTAGATTGTTGTCCTCCTATTATTGCTTTAATAGGATCACTGAACCTTTTGTCCAATGCTACGACTAGAATTGGGGTGTCGATACCCTGTCGAAATAATAATGTTATTTCAATCATTATAATTTCAATATGCAAATACCTTAATCTAGGTTAGTGCTTTATCATTTTTGCTTTTTTTGTTTTGTCAAAATTGCAATTTCTACTGATCCATTTTCAGATGCTTTAGCAGTTGTATTACCGCTAAAATGCTCAAAATGTCTGGCATTCCAAAATTGAAATTTTGACATTTTGTATATTTCTTCTTTTTTAAGAATTCTTTATTTTTCTAATTTTGATTCATCAATTGTAAATTCTTCTTGTATTATATCTCCAAGTTTAAGAACTTGCTGTTCTTCTATTGAAGATTCAAATGCTGATGCTTCTGAGATAGTGTCATCATGCATGATAAAAACTAGTTCTGAATCACTGTTCTCAGATTCAGTTTCAGTTTCTACTTCCAAAATTATTGATTCGTCATCAGAGAGTTCTTCTACATAACAAATTTCGAAATTATTTTCTTCTAGGATTTTTATCATCTTTTTGATGTTTTTCCTTTTTTCGGACAATTGGGTGCAATGTGCAATATGTCCTTACTTTATTACAGATATAACATCTGCAACTTCTTTTTGGTTTGTTGTCATTTTTCTTAACATACCTTCTTTTTTTGTTGAAATTCTTTCTTTTGTTCCATTTCCACTTTTTCCATCTAAATTTTTTCTTTTTGAAATTTTTCTTCTGATATTTTTTATCGCATCCAAATTCTAAATTATTTTTGAGAATTCGGTTACACTCTTTTAGATTAAAACCCTTTTTAACTTGTTTAGCTGCTTTTAGATTTAAACAATAGTTTTCAGTTTGTTTGAAAACATGTCTAATTCTGTTTCCAAGGGTGTCTTTGGAGACTGTATCAGTGATGTACTTTTCGTAAGTAGATTCACTGATTTCACCCAGGGGGGAGGTAGTTTATGAAAAAATGCTGTTTCCAGAAGTCTGTTTTGATTTCGTCCAACATCTGGTACCATTTTTGGTACTCTTTAGCAAATTGTTCAAATTCTTGAATTTTGCATAATTTTAGTTTAGACAGAGTATAATCCGCATCTCTTTGCAGATTAAAATCTTCAACCTGTCCACAAAATTCTTCTTTTAAGAGTTTTGTGAAATCTTTTAGTATATCATCTAGGTTTTTATTATTATCTGAAATCCAGGTGGTCTTTTCTACCTATCCTCTGGTTGAACTTTCCCACTTTCGAAGAAATTGCAAGGCATCTCCTTGAAATATTCCTGAAAGATATTCCAAAAATCTTTCTTTTGTCCAAAATGGTTTATTTTGGGTAATGACTAAGGTCATAGATTGTGCCCAGTCATCAATGGTTTGCACATAATCATTGAAAGGGATATTTTTTAGATCCAAATGTGTCTGATTAATGTTAATGTTTTGTTTGTGAAGGTCATCTCTTCTTACATTAGTTTCGAGTACAGGATTACTAAATGAAGGTGAAAGTTTCTCTTCTTCATTTTTTAGAAAATCTTCTTGTCTAAGATTTCTTAGATAATTCTCAAAATCGTTTGGAGTCCAGAGCTTGGTCTCCGGGTCAGAGTCCAGATGGTCTGGCTCTTCAATTTTTCTTTTTCCTTTTTCTTTAGGGTTTTCTTCTTCCTTTTTCTTTAGGGTTTTCTTCTTCTGAATCGGAACTATTTATCCCATTTATAGAAATATTTTCCGATTCTTTATCATTATGTTTGTTAATATTTGGGGGCAAGTTGGGGTTAGGTTACACTTTCTCATGGCTTCAGCTAAAACACTACAGATCTAATTGGAGGAAAAACCTCAAATCTGCCAACTCTCACAATGAAGTGAAATAGATCATTGACACGTCTACAGCATAGATCAATCAAGAAAAGGGTTTTTTCCTTTATTTGTTTGCCTTTCTTTGAGAATTTTCATTATTCTTGAAAATTATGAGTGAAAATCCTCTTTTCTTTCTATTTTTTCTCTTGTATAAAAGTAAAGTTAGATTACTAGCAACTCTGTGACACAATGTCTTTACTTTTTCCAGTTTTTTCATGAGAAATTTTCTTTTCCCGAAATCATTGCCCAAACCATTTTTTTCTTTTTGTATCGGATAAAAATTTTAATTCTTACCTTGCAGGTTTCCAACAAAACTGATCATATAGTTCATTTTTCCTAAAATCATTGAGAAAGCTGCTTTTGTTCATTTTACTGTCATAGAAATAAAATAGATTTCTTTGCTAGTTCTTGGAGTTTACTCTTTGTTGATTAACCAATATTAGGATAGAGCACTCAGATTTTTCTTTTTTTTTGTGAGAGATATGTATTGAAATATCTCTTATCTGTGACTTCTAATAGGTTTCTCTTTGAGTGTTTCTATGATTATTTTTTTTAGTTCGGTTATGTTTTGAGGCATTCACATCCTGGTTGAGTTAGCCAGTTCAGATCATGGGTCAATCCAAACCAGGAGCCTGTGAGTCAGGTCAAGTTTTCAGGAGGGCAAAAACTGGTGTGGAAACACATTTGTCATCTGATAGTTATTTGTATCTATTGTATATTCTTTTCGAATGTAAGTTTTGTGATGGTCTTCCAGATGGATGTTAGTCTTGCGATTAATCTCTCTCTTTCTCTCATGTATGTGTATGTGTGTGTTTGCATGCATATCTTTATATGCATGTACATATGTCTGGACGCATGTATATCATGGGAACTTTGTTTCTCGGAGTCCTTGTCAAGCTGTTGTAGATTTTAATACATCTCTGTGCACTTGTGTTTGTGTCTTTGCATCTCTCACAGAATATCTTGGTGCAACTTGTGCACTTTGTTGCCTGTCGTCATATGATATTTTAGCTAGTTGTGGGTTTTCCGTCACTACTCTCTTAGAATGGTTGCTGATATGATATTCATGCCCCAATAATTTCCATACATTAAAATAGTAACAAAACTGAGAACTATCCTTCTAGCTTATTCCTTATTCAGATTTCTAATATGACCTCAACACGAGTGCTAAACATGTTGACACCAGTTTAACATAAGCTTTAAACATTAAGATAAATAAAAATGGCTCTAGGGACCCATTACACTGATATTAATGAAGCTGCATGTTTACACCAGTTTAACATGAGCTTTAAGCATTAAGATAAATAAAAATGGCTGTAGGGACCCATTACTCTGATATTAATGAAGCTGTATCTATAATCTACCTGTTGTTAGTACATGTGAAGTTATTTATGATTATCTCAAGGCAGTTGTGAACTCTGCCTAAACTGTAATCCATGAGTTCATTTCAATTAATTATCGAAATTTTGTGGAGAATAGCAATATACTAAAATCAGATTGCTTCATTTCCTTTTGAAGTTGTCTTGTGTTCCAAAGGGCAAGTATTTTAAGCATGCGTGCTTTCTATTGCAGATGGGAAAATTTCAAGCGCCAAATGCAAGCCATGCTTCGGCACAGTGACTCAAAGGGGATTGAGATGAGGAAAACTAACGGCTCGCCGTTTACCTTTCCCATGCCAGATTGCATGTGTCACCATATGGAAACGGGAGTTGCAGGCACTAATATTACAATGGAAATATAATGTGGTTCAGATTCCGTGATATGTTGCGAGTACTGTGATGTCAATCTATAGGGTGAGGGAAATTCTTTGCATCAATGTTGCATGGGGGAGGGCTGTCAAGATTTTTATATTAATTGAGTTGCAATTGTAACTCGGACAACAAGAGAAATTGATTTGTACATGAAATCTTCTTCTGTCTATGAGATCCAATTCTTTTGTGAGCTTGAGACCAGCAGCTTGCTAGAACTTTTGAGCAAATAAAAGTCGGCAAGAATCCAACAACCCTCCACCAAAACTCTTGGTTCAAGAGTCCTTATGTAGTAGGGTTAATTCACGAAATCATATTCAAGATTTTCTGTTATCAATGGGTGTGTCATGATTATAATATTTCTCATGTTCAAATGAGCCAAAAAATTTCACACATTCCAGTCCATTTCGTGTGCGTCCTACACCAAAAATCAATAACTAATAAAACAAATGCTACTTGGAGCTGCACCTTGGCGAAGGCATTGTTTAAAGCACATGCAACATCCACTTTATTTGATAGCAGCACGAGCATGCTGAAGGGAACTTGGTTTCTACTACAGTGTATATGAAACTTCATATTGGGAGTCATATTTGGACAATCCTTTCCCATACAGTGAGATGGGAGTCCTCTTCCAAAGATTACAAGAGACTCACCCATTTGTAGGTATTATTAAGATTTGAATGCTGAAATTTAATATTTCCTGATATTAGTTTCTGTAATGAACTCCCGGCTTGGAAAGAGCTAAGCATATAAAATTTGATCTATACTATCAAGGTCTTCTCAAAGGGCAACAATGCTTTAGCAAATTGGTAGTTCAAAGACATGATGGTTATATCGGTCGTACACCAGGAAGATGTTACGCCCGTAGACTTCCATCACTAGGTCACATACTGTTTCAGTCGTCAAGGCAATACCTATAGGTCGTGGAGGCAAATGTGAAACTGGCTCATTAGCTGACCGATTTCCAGCATTTGGATTGGAAGAAAGTTGTTTTGAGGTGTATCCTGAGGTATTTGACGCGTGCAATATCTTTAAAGTCTAAGTTCAACATTTTGTGCTCGTAGTTCTACATCTCTTTGAGCCAACATGGCTGTTAGGCGCACCTTCTTTTGATTATGTTACGGATCATCTGCCCCGCCAGCCATCATTACATCTGTTAGAGGTTCCTGGAGGTCCGGATGATTCGTTATTGACGCCTGTGATACCATTTCTACAGATGTGGACCAAGTTTTCTGAGCATTAGTCACACACCCAGTGATGTATTGTGGGTTTGTGTTAGCTTGGCGTAGTTTTGTTCCCCCTCTCTTCTTCAAAAGTTTGACAGGCAGGGTCCATCATTGGACGAGAGATACAAACTTTCGTCGAAATTCAAGGCAACTTTATCTTCCCGTGGCTTTTTGCCTTTCCTATCATTGTGTTCATTAATTGTGCCTGCCATATTCCACGGGCATATTTCAAATAGACCATTTCCCATGTGGTGTCTGACTTCCTTAGGAACCATTCCAGGTTCCGAATTTGCAAATCTGGTTCACATTTTTTCCATGAAGCTATCATTTACTTGGACGGCTTCTCGTGCTTCAGGGCAGCATATTGGTTGAGAATACTTCGTACCTTCTTGAGCGTAGCTCTCATCTGTGATCATTACGAATGGGTGAGAGTCATAGACCTGGATAAGTTTGGTTTAGACATTGATCTGATTGTCGGATTTTGGACATAAGTTAAGGATCCAAAAAAGTTAGGCTCTCAATGAGGTCGGATCGCCGGCCTTTGAGTATAAGTTAATGATCCATACAGGTTAGCGTTGCAATGAGGCCTGACCGTCGGCCTTTGTATATGAGTTAAGGATATAGAGAGTTAGGCTTGCAGCGAGGCCTGACCTCCAGCCTTTGAGTATAGGTTAAGGATCTAAACGGGTTAGGCTCGTAATGAAGCCTGATTGCTGGCCTATGAGTATAGGTTAAGAATCCAGACGGGTTAGGCTCGCAATGAGGCCTAACTATCAGCTTATAAACAGAAGATGAGGATCCAGACAAGTTAGGTTTGCCATGAGACCTAACTGCCAGCCTAGGAATAAAATATGATGATCCAAGCAAGTTAGGTACGCAATGAGACCTAACTGCTAGCCTATGAATATAAGATGAAGATCCAGGCAAGATAGGTTCACAATAAAACCTAACCGTCGGCCTATGAACAGAAGATGATCCACACAAGTTAGAATTGCAATGAGGTCTAACCACCGGCCTATGAATCTTCCTTGGCGAACGGGGTATCCGTGTGGTCAAAGGCTCGATTCTTGCGGTTCCCAATAGAGAAGGCGAGTGGCTCATAGTGGGATTAAGTTGGTGCTCATTTTCGCACATCGCTTTTGACATGAGAGTCGCTACGGGTCGACGTCCAACCCTGATTGTTAACAGACTCAGTCTACAGTTGTCACCCTCTATCGGTGAGCTCGAAAATTGAGAATACTGTCGGAGGCCTTCCTCATTTTCCCAGAGGACTTCGTGTCCATGAGAGAGGCCTTAGATAAGCGTTGTGGAATGTCCTTCTCACACTGCCCAAGACAACGATCGTGGCCGACAATTTGTTGTTGTTTAATGGGGTTAGTGAGGGTGATTGCTATCAATAGCAAAGTTGACTTATGCCTGGGGCTTCAACTTGGTTTAACCTCGCGCTCTCGTGACTGGAATGTCTGCCTAGCTGACTTTCCGATGAAGTACTCGGCCTAGTAGGAGTTTTGCTGAAAATGGGTTGAGACGCTAGTGCTGAAAACAAAGACGAGACATTGATAGTCTCAACCAAAAAGGATGACGGAATGGCAGCCATAAGAGAATCACTTTTGACGATTTGTGTAAAATACATGGACTGATCATCAAAGCAGAGAGATAAAAAGAGAGAAAGATTGAACCAAAGAGTCTCTGACATGAGGACCAACCTTAGAGAGAGAAAATGTCGTTTTTTTGTAGACTCAACCCGAGATGAAAGATGGACTCCTCTCCAGTGGAGTCGCCAGAGATTTGATAGCTTTGAAAATATATTGCGTTAACGAAAATGTTTAGAACATTATAACTCCAAATTAAATGGATAACCAGAGGGCAAACACAATTGGGGGCTAAATTTTTCCTAATGCTTCATAGGATAGAAACAAAGGGTCTTACATATAATACTGGGTACTAAGGAATTATAAAGACTTAAATCTCTGTTACAATTTACATCCTCCTAAATGCTAGGCCGAATATCCTTGATTTGAGCCTTGAAGCCTTGTGGTGCTTAGGACTCAGATTTAAGGTTTTTAGGAATTCCCTTGACCAAAATATCTAAGGGGGTGTCTACATACACATTAAACTTTATCATGTGGACAGGAGGGTACATCTCCAGTGTGAGGATACACTCAAGTAGACCACACCTACTTCATGTTTGACTTACATTACTATATGAAGGAAGGTGGTGAGAGGTTGTACCTCTTCATGAGGAGGTTACTCTCCCATGAATGGTATGCACCATGCACCATACACTATAAGGGTGGCCATTCATGAGGAGGTTACTCCCATATAAATGAGATGGCCCTTTCTCTCATTGTAAAAGGGGGAGGGGTGGAGGTCTCTATACACTACAACATACACGAGAAAGTGTGAGAGCTAAATTCTTAAGAGAGAGAGAGAGTACAATCTATCTCTATTTGAGTTTTAAGAAGAGACACATCCCTAAGAGATAGAGTTGTGTGTGGGAGTCGACCTCGGATTGCTCCTCATACCACATTTGTTGGAGTATTCATGAGCTTCCACCTCGCTTGGGATTTGAGACTGGAACAGATTTCGACATCTTTAGTGGTTGACAGACGTGGCTACGTGCGTTGATCATTCCTCTCCACATTCGTTCACCCTAAATCTTTTTACGAGCACTCAGGTATGATATTCGGTTCCCAAATGATTATTTTGCTTCCGCTTCAGCTCTTGGATCGTTCATTCCAACACTGGTATCAAAGCCATCGTGGAACCAAGTTCCCACTCGTTTCCGCCTTAGTTTTTTGAAGGATCAATGATGGTTAGCCTACGATGTTACAAAGTGCACATGATGGTTATATTAATACCATGAGTAGGTGCACTATGTAACCTTATGTACCGACCTTATAATCATGCAGGCCTTACGCATTGAGGAGTTTCCACCTTATATATGGGCTACGATAGTTGATGCCTCTTAGACCATGAGCGTCATGGCTACCTGATTTTATAGGCATCACACGCTAAGCCATGCATGGCAACCATGCATGGCAGGTCCTACTTATTTTTTTGGCATTTTAAGGTCACATATAAAGCTTTTTTTTAGTGGGAGTGCATCTAGGAAGGTGTACCACTTACAAATTGCGAGGTATTTGAGATGCTAGAACCAATAAATAAACTTGGTATTGATTACAAGCAATAGCTCAATGTAGCCACGTGGATTTTCATATCAAGACTTTTAAGGGTCATGTTTTTTCAAATAACTAAACAATTAACACGAGTAAAAATGATAATCTAAGTGCAATCATGGATCAAACAAACCATCAAACATCTATAGTAATAGGTGCAATTTTGTTGTTTTGACTTAGAATGGCTTCTAAAAATGTGATCACGGATCTCATTAAAGGTGATAAGTTGAATGGGAGCAATTTTCCTAACTGACATAGGAAAATGACCACATAGGAAAATGCAATACTTTCTAAATGAGCAAGGTACTCTTGAACACCTAATTACCATTAAGTAAAAACCTGAACAAGGTGTCGCAAAGAAACTTCTCCGTGAATATGAGGCACAAGACAAGGCTGACCATAGCACTAACTTTACTTTACTAAGTGTTATGGTTGATAACCTCATTCGTGAATTCAAGGGATTCACCATGACGAAGGCCATGTAGGATGTGCTT